TTAAACAACTATATCCCTAGAAACCATGCGCAATATTTGTGTATACAAAAAGTAGACTAAATATATTAGAGCTATTCCGTGGTGACCGATAACTATAACTCTAAATTATCGAATACTTCAACTTATTTTTTCAAATTTTATCACTGCTGTAGATGAGCATACGTGTTCATGGCTCGCCTGGTTGCAAAAAGTTACTGGAGGCCGTACACATCACGACGTGAATGCCGCCATCCACTTCGAGATATAGGATCTAAGTCTCAAATACACGCGTTCGACAATTTAAATATTATTACCCAATCAAAAATGGATAGTTTGGTTTTAATCAAGTATAAGTAATATTGTAGCTTAAAAGCCATTTTTAATCACAGAGAAACGCTTCAATATTATTTATAAGTAAAGTTTTAAACCGTGTCTAAATAAAATTATGTCATGTTATTCAATTAAATCAAGTGTTAACATCGTAAAATATGTAAAATGTCTGGAACTCTGTGGTACCGAGCGTCTGTCTGTTTGCGCACGTTTTGAATGTCATTGTCATAGTGCTAATTGCCTACTGCAAGAGCAACTACTATGCTATTCACCTCACATGAATAGGTACGTGTTATCAATATTTGTCACTCTATCTTGAATTTGCAATTTCAATTATGTACGTGGTTTATTCTAATTTTAGTTACGGCCAGGACTCCTTATATGACGATTGAGAAGTCGACCTCATGTCTCAAAGCCTAAAAATTCAATTGACAATTATTAACAACAAGTAAATGTATAATCGGGCACAAATTACATACGGTCTTATATGCACTAATCCTGTATAATCGGAAACAGATACATATTACTATATCATATGTATATAATGATCATATGTATATATTTTTATATGATATTCATTTTTCTGAAGTCGTCGTGGCCTAAAAGATAAGACGTCCGGTGTAATAGTGTTGAAGCGATGCACCGGTGTTCGAATCCCGCAGGCGGGTACCAATTTTTCTAATGAAATACGTACTCAACAAATGTTCGCGATTGACTTCCACGGTGAAGGAATAACATCGTGTAATAAAAGTGAAACCCGCAAAATTATAATTTGCGTAATTACTGGTGGTAAGACCTGTTGTGAGTCCGCGCGGGTAGGTACCACCGCCCTGCCTATTTCTGCCGTGAAGCAGTAATGCGTTTCGGTTTGAAGGGTGGGGCAGCCGTTGTAACTATACTGAGACCTTACAACTTATATCTCAAGGTGGGTGGCGCATTTACGTTGTAGATGTCTATGGGCTCCAGTAACCACTTAACATCAGGTGGGCTGTGAGCTCGTCCACCCATCTAAGCAATAAAAAAAAAAAAAAGATTGCGTCACTATTATAGAAGTATTAAACGCGGGGTGTGAGAATAAAACTGAATAATTTTCATTTAGCGTGCATGCAACTTTTGTAAGTAGATCATAATGATAAAATAGCAAAAATATTAAGTCTAAGAGCTCTCTAGCCACAAAAGAATTCAAGTATGATGTTTTAAGCCTGTTTATATCGTTTATGAAGAGCAAAAGCGATCGTGAAAAGCGAAGGCGGTACGCAGTCCGCTTGGAAGCTGGTAGAGGGCGCTCTTGTCGCTACCGCAGCTTCGAATTAATATTTCCAGGCAGTTGAGTTCGAATGCGTTTCCGGCTTGAGTTGCTTCAACTCGAAAGCAAACTTTTCGTGTTTACATTCCTTTAAAAGTCTTTTAATTCTTAGCTTTGCGTTGCAATACTTTGCCTAGTATCTTTTTCACTTTAGTTTCTGTTTTTCACTTTGTTACGGTTGCTATATTTGAACTTCGAAAAATTCAAACAGTTCACCCAAAGAATTCGAAACGAAAAATGTGTTTGAGAACTCGATATGCTTCGTAGTAGTAGGCATTATTTTCTTATTCCAAAGTAATGAGCATTCCAGGCCTGTTTTCTCGTGAACATTTATTATGTATTTTTCCTAAATATGTTAGAGCATGGTTCTACGAACGGCTGAGTATGTTCATCGATCACTTTCTGCGATAAGCACAACTCTTTCATCTGTGAATATTTTATTTAAATGTCCATTATTTTTGCAGCGTCTCCTTTCCCGTTATATAAAACTAACATCACCGGAGAATAATTTTAAATTTCGTACCGTTTCAGTCAAAAAGTAAATTTCAAAGAATTTAAATGTTCCGACCTCTGAATTCTTAATTTTATATCGTTGTTAGCTGTTAAATATAATACTCAGGCGCTTAGTACTATTTGTAATCATACTTTAATTATTAATATTTAAATTTCATTATTATATTATTAGAATGAGTCTTTGTCGAAGCAGAAATCAGTTAGGGTTGCTACCAATAGCTATAAACACGAGTGTGTCTGCTTAAAATGGGATACCTCCATAATATAATTTTTTATTCCGAAAAAGGTTATGAAAGAATTTGATTTTGTTGCTTGTGGCTTGGGGATGAGGTCTATTTTTTTATAATGGGTTCATAAGACTTAAACCCAAAAATAATCATTGATATCGGTTCTGTATTATTAAATATATTAATATCGGGTGTCCGCCGGGAAGGTATACTACTTTTTTTGTTTATAATTTTTGTTTAAATGAAAGAGAATGGATCTGATATTGATAGATGTTGAATGAAAATACAACAAAACCAATGGTCAAAACGAATTCAAATATGGATTCTTCAAGTCCAAATATTCAATTTACCTAAACATCATAATGTAAATTTTACTTTGTATATATCATCAACGTTACCAACAGATACATACTAGATATATAATCTAGTATGTATCTGTTTAGTCCTACTAGTAATACTACCAGTACAATATAGATGAAACCTAATTTTAGGGTGAGCAGGAAGCCAAAAGCTTCAAATAATGCTGCGTAAATCTCTACTCGGAAAGTAATGTATGGCGACAGCCACTCGCCGTAATTACACAACAAAGGATGTTTTACTACATCAGTATTCCGCAGCATAGCGACTGGCAAAAGTATTTTATTACCGAAATTTGGCTTCAAGTCTAGAAATTTTCAGGGCCATATACGCAGAAGGATTTAAAACATTAATCACGACAGTTTCCAATGGAGTTCAACAAATAAGGTGACTTTGTTTCAGCGCTTTGCAACCTTTCAATTAACTAGTAATCATACACGCCCCGGGAACCCTTTCATTAAACACTGGTACCTAATGAGTTTTCACCCTTCGCCGAATAGTGGTCATCCGAGCTTTGATGGACTGGCTTGCAACGTATTTTCTTTTTACTTTTATGCAGACAAATTGGGCTTCACTGAAGCGTCTACTCAATTAAGTTTCCGGCTAATTGTGTGGATGGTTCATGGAAAAATTAGCATTTTGTAATTTTCGAAGTAGTTTTTTTTTTCAAAAGTATTTTTGAAATTTAATAAGTAAATAAGTATTTGAATTACTAAGAAAATATTTAAGCTTTTAAGCGTTAAATCATTGTTCAGTAAATCGACAATTAACAAATTTCAATCAAAAAACCTAGGCGAGGCGAGATTCATCCTCATTACATTTAATGGCGGTCGGGCGCAGGCGATATTTGAGACAGAACGCCTTAATTAATACTGAAGCCAGTCTTTGTCAGACAATCGATAAGTCGTTACATCTTACTATTGTTGTAAGTTCTTGAAGCTCAGAAAATTTATGTGAATCACTGACAATTTAAATGTCAACGTTTCTTAATTAAAATTTACCGTTCATATAAAAGAGATTTATTACATTTGGAAAAGTAATTTTGTTGACTCATGTTTTGTCAGATAGTCCTACAATATCATGAATTAACAAAAATGAATACGTGAATTTAAATATGAATTCTTTTAGGTATAAGCAATAAAATACAATTTCAAAGTAGATCCTTTACTGAAAATTTTGGAGAAGTTTTGTAAAAATACAGTATTAAGTTGACATTTTGGGGTGTTAAAACAGTAATGTTGAACTCAGTCTTGACGCAGTACAAATCGACTGATCTTCATTTAATTTAATTCAAATAAATTGCACGATGTCTACTAATGTTTAACTATGCTCGTATGCGACAATTTGTCTTAAATCTAAAATTATATGTTTAAAAACGACATAAACAACTACACAATGTACATTTTATTGGTAAACAAATACTTATTTACAAATCAGGCTTTACAATATGAGCCGTGGTATATATGTACAGAATACGATTATAAACTACAAATATATTTATGAAAGCACAAATATTGCGGGTAGTCAGCACGCGTGTGCCCAAAATGCTTCTTACATGAGATCCGATTTCAAAGAGATTAAGCGTGGGAATCGCACGTGTACGTTGTAAATCTCTCGCAAGCTTTTTATTCAATAGTTCTTTGTTTGGTATTTAAATATGTGTTTTCACTGAAGTTTTTATATGTAAATTCATTTTGATGGGTGGGATTGCTGTTATACAAAACTGAATTGAGAAATCGATCTCAAATCTCAAGGTGGGTGGTGATTATATTGTGAATTATCTATGGGCTCCGGTAGCCATCCATGCACTAAAACATTATTTAGATTTAAACGTAAAAGTAATTTTAAATGAAAAATATTGCAGAATCCTAAATTTATAGTAACGATAACACTCTCCATATGTTCGAAATAAATAAACAGCTGTTGTCATTAATGTTTTGTATTTGTTTTGATTATATATTGATGTACAATAGAGCATACTCTACTGCTACTGATCAAATTCACGGCTCGTGTTAAACTAAGATAATTATACTATTTTATAGACAGTATTTGAAAACCCGCTTACAATTTAGAAAAGATAATTGAAATGAGAAAGGTAACAAATGAGTCGACTATTATCAAAGCCGGCAATCTGACTTTTGGACAATGATTGGTAAATCTGAAAAACGAATTATTGACTTTGTATTCCATTGGCAGTCATAAAACTCTTCGGAACGACATCTTAGATAAATAACAGGTTAACTATTAACGCATATTTAATGCAAGTTTTGAACCGTATTCTTTGAAGGAGTCGATTATATTCAAATTAATCTGTATTGACATATCAATAAATTTTTTTTGTCCAAATGCACAGATTGTCACCTTTGATAATAGACGACTCAAATGTAGAAATTGACCAACGTCTGAGCTATATAACAATGAAAATCATCGTGTCACCAACCACTGATGATAGCTTATCGAGAAGATACTCAGTCGCTTAGACTCGGCTCATTGCTTGCCAGCGACTTGAGGAGGGGAAGACACTAGTTAGACTCAATCAAATTACAGCCGAACCCTTATTTCCCTTCAGTTACATGTACAAAGGATGTCAAGGCATAGAGTACAATGGCGTGCAAAACTATGCCCTGAAGTGAATATGTGCTTTTACGTGGTAAAGTTCATCTCTTGCGCTATTCAATTGACAATCAGTACGAATTTAAACGCATTAAACACATATTTAAATGACAACATCATTGATTAACTAAACTAATGTAAGACAAAAATACGTTAAAAAGTATTTCTTACGCTTAGAATTGGTTTTAGAATAATTTTAGTGTAGTTTAAAAATGCGTAAAATTTTCATTAATTGAATACTGTTTTGAGATTCTCATGAAAAGTGTTTCGATATATTGTTTTTTCGTAGTAAAGGGAATATATCAAAAAATCATTATTGTTTTGAATTATTACAAAGTCTTTGGTACGAGGTATAAACTGTTCAAACTTACATACCTAGTTTTATAAACACTAATCAACATTATAAATGCACATATGAAATATGTATTTACAAAAAAAATTCGAGTCTCATTAACGTGATACTGAAAATTTTACTGTGAAAAAATACTTTGGAAGAAGGGTTACAATTTTATATTTCAGTAAACAGTCATTGTGCTTATGTTGTTTTCATTTAAAAAATCAAAAATAAATTATAGCTCCGTGCTCATTTCGGCAGGAACTGGCTTATTTCCGGAGAAGGATGGCGTAGGCGTTTCCGATGTCTCTCCTGGTTCGTTCAGTTGCTCTGCAGTCTAATTGGAAAAATATCCTTCATATTTAAGACATGAAAATTGTATTTTAAAAAATCTGTTGTTATTTGATATATTTTAGATTATAATTACTGTATTTTATTATAATTACATCATATTTATTGTAGTAATAAGAATTCGTTTAAGTAATTAATTATTTTTTACAAACCATATTGTTTGGTTACATAAGAGAATAAAATAAACACAAATTTATAAAATATGATAAAAACAAAAAGAAGATTATCATTATTTACACAAATTAGATAGTTTTATAAACACAAAAAAAAACACACACAAACACAATAGAAATCAACTGTTAAAAATGTTAGTTAAATGTGTTAATCTACCAGCACAATCTACCCGCATGCTACTGAACAACCACAACCGACATGCACAAACATAGAGCGGACTCCTTCGGAGATCAAAACCAATGATGCGTGCAGCATACAATCCATTCAATGCGGCACAAAGACGTTGCGAGTCCCGGAGTGTTTATTACTTACTGCGTGCTTTCAATGAGAGGTTTTAAGATAATGTCGAGAGTGTTGTCGTGTCGCGTGACGGGACGCGAGTGTGTGCGCGGCAGGTTCGCGTTGTGGTCGCGAGACTCGCGCGAGGGTCGCGCGTACCGCCGCGCCAGCGAACCGCTCTCGCCCACCAATATGTTGTTGTTGCTAGCATGTCTCTGTGTATCCCAACAATTGATAGCTAAACTACCAATGCCTTCAAGACTAACTCCACGGTTGTATGTTGTAACTGTTTTCGCACAACAATTTGCTACAGCAGTACAAGAACTGCATTATTTTTTCAATATGTGTGCTTTGACTATACTGTAGCATATTGTAGTGTTACCATCCCTTTAGCAAGAAGCTATAAAAACTCAAAGTATGATCAGTAAGGGAAAGCTATAGAATCGAAATATTTGACCTCTACTACGAAGATGGTCAGTGAATTAGACTTAGCCTGAAAAAATTACTACACCATTTTTTTTTAATATCAGTAATAAAATCTAGAGTAATAAGATTATTTATCTTAAGTGATAAATCTTCAGCAGCCTGTACACGGTTAGCTTTTCAGCGACCCTAAAACAGGAGCTGCAGTTTTGTTCGACGACCCTTGTTTGAAACATTGCATGTGAAAAAAAAAAGATTGAATAAATACCATATTGTATATACAGGTATGCATGTCAACTGGATTTTCGTTGGACTTGAAATCACTATAGATGAACTGCAAGACGTATATTTTTTAACGTAAACTTAAACATGATGCTGTATTGATTGATATAATTATCGAAAACTAAGTAAGTAATAAAAACAAATTTGATTTTATATATTGAAAGAAGAAATATTTGAAGGGTCGCCGAAATGCAAAGTGTGTTAAGAAGCGAAGCGGCCACTCACGAAGAGAGAAATGCTTCCGTGAGCAGCGTGTGGGTAGCCGCGGGGTGTGAGTTCGCGCGGGCGGCGTGCGGCCGCGCTGTCGCTCGCCACCGACACCAACGAACGCTGTGAGCCAGACCCGCGCGGTGCAGCCGGCGGCCGCCGCCAACCCCGCGGCTCCGCTCCCGTCCCAGCACCCGCGCCAACACACTGCCTACTCACAGGGACTGTCGACCCGCCTGCACCGCACTTAGCACTGTCGCTCGACCTGCTTTAAAGAAACAAATCTATACATATAAATAAAATTGGAGTGTCTGTTTGTAATATTGAAATAACCGCTTTTTACTATATGCGTATAATATGTTCAATACATACACCAAAATAACATTTTTTACAATTTTTGGTTGTCTGTTTGTTCCGGCTAACCCCTGGAACGGCTAGACCGATTTTGACGAGACTTTCACTGATAGGTAGCTTATGATATAAGGAGTAACTTAGGCTACTTTTTTTAGACTAGCTTCGCCCCGCGGTGTCACTCGCGGTACGACAATAACAGCGGTAACGTCGCGAGACTCAGCTATTAATAATAAAATTTAATGTTTCCGAAGCGAAGCGAAAGCGGGTCGCTAGTAATTAATATAACGAAGAAAAAACGAATTAAGCTTTTATTGTAATTCAATATTTTTTTTAAATTAAAGCCGGTCTTTGTTTTCACGTGGTTTGTGGAACATATTTTTCTGAGATATTTAATCGTAAAATATCGACACTTAATAAAATTTATTACCTCTCTGAAGAATATGCGTAATCTTGGTCGGCGCCGAGACCTGAATCTGTATGTTCATGAGAAACACGCGCACTTCCTGATATCAGTTCACCGCTAGAGCTGTTGCTGTTGCTGTTTGTGACCGGACTATACGGATTGTTATTGTTTGAGCTTGGAGTAACGTTTCCTCTATAACCAATGTTTGTCAAGAAATCATCTCCGGTATGCCCAACGGTATCATCGAACGTTGGATATACTCGCCTAAAAAATAATCACCTTCTTAGTACAAATAACTCCTTTCAACTATTATTTTTATTACAAAACAGAATTTAAGAATGGCTTACCTTCCATGTTTTTCATTGCTTGTCCTATGAGAGCTTAAAGTACTGGAGATGGATCGAAGAGATCCTTGATTGAGAGTGTCGTTCGTGTTTTTATGAGACGAAGAGATTTTGTCTCGTCTTGCCAATGAGCCGTTTTCTACCCTGCATTATTAGGATAATTTGAGTAAAAACTTTCACAGAAATGTAGACTTTAGAGATAATTCTATTTTAAGTTTAAAGATAAAGAAAGAAATAAGGAATAGTAAATTTATGTATTGCATCTTAGAGATTGTTTTATAAAAATGCTAAGTAAAACGTACTGCCGATGCTTAGAAGAGGTTCGTAGCTTTGTTTGACGAGCATGACTAGTCTGTACGACAGTATATGGTATTTCTTTAAGTTGCTCTTCCGTCATTCCAGTAGTGTCAATCAAAGAAAATTCCAAATGCTGTTTCACCTCACTTGGCAACCATTTCTTTTCACTAGGAGATCTGGAACGTGACCTGGTGAAACCGTTCAGTAAATAAATAATAAATAGTTATTAGTAGGCGAAATAGTTATATAAACAGTCATTTTAAAGTGTTAAAAGAGATCTCGTACCTATGTTTTTTATGCTTTCTGTGCCTATGTGAAGAACGGTGTGTTCCAATTTCTGGTTCCATCTGTGACCGACGAACACTAGCAACCTTATAAACATTTAAATTTCGTTAAAGTACAATAGTAGCATTTTTTTTTTTTAATTAGTGCTTTATAAAAATGAAGATGCTATAACTCACTTGGACACCACTGCCCGCTGTGGTCTGTCGTAGGACCTCTTTCCATTGCAAATCCGAGTCAACTAACTCATATTCTCTGCAATTATTCGAAAGTATTGTTAGATTCCAGTATATTTTATTATTCAGCAAAATATCGTTTTGCGAATAGTATTACATTATGAAGTTAATTTATTTTATAAATTTAATATAATATGTAGGTTTAATTTAACTTTTCGGTTTTACTAACTTGGTATCAGGCTGAGAATCGTCTCTTTCGGAGCCGGACTCATGCTTATGCCGGGATCGATGGCGTCGATGTCGCCGCCCCGACCGGCCTGAACCACGAGACAATTCACTCTCGGCATCAGACTGTTGTCGACGAGACCGGTGTTTGTGTCTGTTTCAACAAAATTAAAATGTATAATAAATAAAAATATAAGAGAAATAAAAAAAAGAACATTTACGAACGTTGAGTTTTATAATTTAGCATATCTAATTTATTTGGGGCGAAAAGTTGAAATTTAGCTTTAATTGATATTTTATATCTTATCTCTATATATAAAAACGAATTGTTAGTCTCGCTAAAAATCGAGAACGGCTGGACCGATTTGGCTAATTTTAGTATTGAATTATTTGTCCAGGGAAGGTTTAAAAGGTGAGAAAATATAAAAAAGCTCGGAATTATTTTGTTTTTCCTTTGATGTGTCCCCTTAATGTGTCTTTTATTTATCGATTGAGGCACTACGAAGTCTGCCGGGTCAGCTGGTTTATTATAAAGTATTTACTAACTTTCGATTGGATCTAGAATCGTTAGAGCTTTGCGAATCGACAGAAGCGGAGCGATGTCGCGGAGCGGGGGGCGGGCGCGTCGCTGCCGGTGACGCGGAGTAGAGGCCACGGCGAGCCGGCGCTGAACGCGTCGAGCGAGGCGAACCGCCCGCTGCTACTGGGACCTCACACCCTATCGCTGGCACCTCACCACTTATACTAAATCGAACCACAAATAATACTCATAATTATAATGTAACTCAATATCTATAATGTAGCTCATAAATATACTTTTATGGTTTAATTCCGCGTTTTTATTCTCATTTTATTTAAAAAAAAAAACAATTTCGATGATTGTACAATAACAATAAAAAACGTGAGGTTTAACCTTAAAAGCAATTCGAGTAAGTACGACGACTCTAAAACGATTACTAAAACTGTACTTAGTTCTTGAAATAATTAATTGTATTTTATTGATTGACTTTTCATCATAATCAAGAGAACAAAGTTATAAGCGAAATTTTCGATTTAGATAATAAATCTGAAAGTTATATCATTTCATGGAATTTCAATCAAGTTTCAGTGAAGATCGAGTAAATACCAAAATGTTTAAGAACTTTCTGTTTGAACGAAGATCGGTTGGTACATTGGGTTGGTATATTCTAAGCCATAACTTACGAACTGGGACGATGTACTGAGGTAGGTTGTTTAATTTCCGGTGGGCAGTCTTTCAATCTCAAATCTTCTAACTTTGGCACTGCAATATACCAAGATTTAATATATTTAGAGTTGTAGTACGCTTTTAATTAATATTTAAATATTCCATGACAATTAAATAACACCTATTCTGGTTTTGGATCAGCTTAATTGAATCTGTGTTCAATATAAGAATATATTTGAATTTTAAAATTGATGTTTAACGAAAAATCTTTAAAAGGTTAACTAAAATTTGTTAGGTTTGAGATCTATAATATTTTAAGGTCACATCACTAAATCTCAAAAAGAGGTACGGACAATGCATTTGCATGTATACGATCAAAATTTTAATTACAAAAAAATTGCAATGTTTATGATCGTCTTGTAATTATGTTGTTATTGTCAGTTGCAAATTACAAAAAGTCTGCATCAAAATATGGGCATGCGAATGCGTCCTGAACTCTGTAGATTAAATGCTATGGTAACGTCTAAAATAACTATTTGTAGGTTTTTTTTCATCCTCACTCCAACATAAATGATTGCTCTCACTCTGCGAAACATCGTGCCATATGGCGTCGCATCGCGAGAGCATCGGTATCGCAGGATCCAACTGATGCATGACCACGACCACTCTGTCAAGAGTGTACGAATAGGAAGAAGGTTTTTTTTGGTCAGTAATTAATTATAGTTGTACTACCGTCAATTAGAGATGAGTTTGAAGCGTATGAGGGGCGCGCGTTCCGTCGTGATGGCGTCCGCGTGAATGCGGGTGGCGGACGAGGGCGTGTCCCGCGAGCACTGAAGGACACAAACATTTACAAGAAAAGAAACAATAGCTGGTGGTAGGACCTCTTGTGAGTCCGCGCGGGTAGGTACCACCGCCCCGCCTATTTCTGCCGTGAAGCAGTAATGCGTTTCGGTTTGAAGGGTGGGGCAGCCGTTGTAACTACATTGAGACCTTAGAACTTATGTCTCAAGGTGGGTGGCGCATTTACGTTATAGATGTCCATGGGCTCCAGTAACCACTTAACACCAGGTGGGCTGTGAGCTCGTCCACCCAGCTAAGCAATAAAAAAAAACAAATGTTTCTACTATCCGTAGCTTAAAATTTGTGACGGCTGATTAATTCACGTCGAGTATTGCGACTATGCTCTGGTTAAAAACCTCAAAGAGCAACCAATTTTCTCTAGTAAATGCACCACGTGTTACCCAACACGTGATTACGACGACATTGATAACGAAAGAATGAGAGTATAAAAATAAAAATAGCTTACAGTAAATTATATTATACATGTGGTAAAAGAAAGGTAAAAATACCTCTTATGGGCCTGTATTAAATGTATTCTGGTGTAATTCTGGTTTAAATATATTCTGTAATTCTGGTGTAAAGTAGTCATGCCGTTCGATTTAGAGCTATGTGCCATGGTAATAATCTAACATCAAGGGCAATGAATCCGCGTACTCATCCAGAGCTCAAAAAACACATAAAATAGTTTTCGGAGTGAAGATCCGTAATTATCTTGCATTTGTTACAAGGAACACACGTGTTAAAGAACAGCGGCATTAAGTCATTTTTATTGTTTTTAAATCCGCTAGCCGCTTAATAGTAGGTGGGCCACGAGCTTTTTGATTAATTTCATGAGTGATTAAATTTTAAACGAACTGATTCTCGGTGCCAGTACTAGAATTTAAACTCAAAAATACCAGCTAAGATGACCAAATCAACTTTAGGCTGTACCAAATTATTGGAAATAAACATCTCTTATCCACAATTTAGTTTAATATTAAAAAAAGGACTGCTCTAGCGGTATTATTTTATCATATTGAAATCAACTCTGTTCAGGGATACCTACCTATTTCAGGTTTGTTAACATAAATTTCAGATAAAATTATTAAAATCACACACCTATACAATTAACTGTACTGTATCTATGCGCTCACATTCAATACAAACTTAATATAATAATCGAGATTCAATATCGTTCCAGATCGAAACGCCAATAAAAACACACACATATTTTAATTAATATGATTTCTGCAAAAAATAAATCGTTTTTTTATGCTCCAGATGTTTATCTACTCACTTAATAATATGATTTTTGAGATAGTAAAAACAAGTATTTTGTGTCCAATAACAGGACGACAAACTGAGAGGCACACGTGATATCGATAGAACTCGTGCGCGATTCAAACCTGTTTAAAATTGACTCTTATTGAATTTTTCTTCCGTGTACCACTGCTTCACCATATGATGCACATATGGGTGAGGGTGGTGAGTGGTCACCGTCGCACAAAGTTGGTAGCAGTCAGATACATAGTCATGTCGCTGGCTGAGGACTTTACATACCTAGTTCTAAACCTAGAACCCAACGCGAGCGTCTCAGCTGAAGCAGGCGATGATTGCTGTAATCTGAAGAAGGTGTGGTGATCGGAGCAGCAGCGCCACAGATGTCGACACGCCGATCTTGTAGGAGACTCAAACCCATACGTTGACGTCTCATTCTATTGAGTAGATATTTAAAAAAATGTACATTGATTGTTTTTGATTGTGAATATGATATTGTGAAATATCATATTCACGGAGCATTAGTGAACTTTCAATTTTAGTTCATAATAAAATTCTCGTTTATCGTTCACGAGTGCGAATATTGAATCTCTAGCTTACAGATATTACTACGCAAATTATTTATTATTATTGTTTGTTTGTCGATCTGATTATTTATTTTATATCCTAAATTTTCAGATATTGACAGCTGTAATTTTAATGAATATTGGTCTTGTTCAAAAACTTTGATGTCGAACTTGATTGTTACAATTAAAATTTCAAATTCAAACAAACAGAAACACACATTCACAGAAATAATAATATTTACTCTATTTCGACATTTTGTATCAATAATTTCTCAACAATGGATATTATTAAATATTACGTACCCATTTTGTACATTCTGTTGACTAATTATAATTGATTGAAATTATATTCATAGGCAATTTTATGTATTCACTTTCAACTCAAAACTTAAACACATTTAAAAGGTTGTTTTATGTTCATTACGCTCACACAAGTATGACAAACACATAATTTTATCTAAGCCTAAGCTTATGTTATTGCCATTAAGTAAATATAATACATTCACAGAATGTTTTACTATCTGAAGATAAAATCTAGGAAATCAAATAGTTTCGCAAAAGGATATTAACATATTTTTTACGTTAAAGCCTGGTGAATAAGTAAAAAAAGGAAGGCAGCTCCCCAGCGAAGGCTCGAGGTGGGGCGGCTCCCGTGACAGCCGTGCGCTGTAAATATTGCGCTTACTGTACACGACGNGTAAATATAATACATTCACAGAATGTTTTACTATCTGAAGATAAAATCTAGGAAATCAAATAGTTTCGCAAAAGGATATTAACATATTTTTTACGTTAAAGCCTGGTGAATAAGTAAAAAAAGGAAGGCAGCTCCCCAGCGAAGGCTCGAGGTGGGGCGGCTCCCGTGACAGCCGTGCGCTGTAAATATTGCGCTTACTGTACACGACGCGACTTATCTGTAATTGCCTGCCCGCGAATGTCTTTCAAGGAAACGGCATAAGGTGGACTCCATCTTACAGCACTATTCAGCCGCGCCCACTATCGCACGAAACGATCCGAACCGGGTCAAGTGTTTTCATGTTTATTTATTTGTGGCGTTTTCCTGCTTTAATAGTTTTCGCTTTGGAGTGGGCGACTTACGTTTTTATCCGCTACGCGAAGCATGAAGTATCGTCCTTTGTAATAAAGTTTCGAAACTCGAGGCCAGTAATAATTGGCGACTGTGTGCTTGCCTCTTAAAAGTAGTAGACCGCTCGGCGCCAGTCCTAGGAAATATTCTACGCTGTCTTCGCCCTGTCAAAATAAATCGTTTTACAATAATATGTACAAGGTAATAGATTTTTGTAATTTATACGTTTGATAACTTACTAAGACGGGATGCAAATCCACACCGTACATATCGAGCCATTTCACCTTATCTAAGTAACTTAATTCTGCCTGCGCCGGCGAAATACCTCTGGAACAAAATAGTAATTAAACATTCTCAGTTAAAATCAGAACAGTTGACGGTATAGAGTCAATTGTAGTGTTAATTAATGGAACGTATTACACTGGAAGAAATACAAAAGGCTAAACAACAATGAGTAATTCCAATGTCGCCCCGAGGCGAGACTAAGCCTCGGCTCACTTTGTGTTAAGTGCCTAGGTACACATAATTTGCATGTAATTGCGGCTTTGTGAAGCGCCTGCGGCCATAGACTGCATCTTTGCTCACTTAAAAATTCATTTAATTAGGCGAGAAAGGCGACGAAGTTTAATTTCCTGGCGGACGGTGGAGCTTTCGGTGTGAAACTGCTCATTTTGAAATCTTAATTCGCTCCAAGTCGTTTTGTGCAGTAGTACTACTTAAAAACGTGACTAACTTCTATAATAGCCCACTTTGTTCACATAGTCTATAAAGCGGTTTTAAAATATAGATACCAATTGCAATTTGATTTTGGGAATTGTAATGTTTAGAAAAACAATCAACTACAGTATAGAGTTACAGGTGCGCACACGATTTTCCAAAATTAAAACACCCTTAACCTCTAATGTGAGATGGCACCTAAGCTAAAAGCTTAATATCATCCTGGAATCAAGCCTGGAAGTTAATTTCAACTGCATTTGCTGAAAATTTTCACAAATTTTACGATATAACAAAAGTTTACGAACCAGCCAAATAACCACCAGTATTACCGACCGAAATATATTATCGCATAAAGTCCATATTTTTGTTGATACCAGCGCAAAGATAAACCCTTGTAAAAAGGAATAAAAGCGGGGCCATAAAACAAGGTGCGCTCGTAAACTCACGCGAGAGTGCGATGTATCTCGGCAGCTCGTGTCTCCAGTTCTGGTGCTTGGTGTGCGAGGAGTCTAAACTCCGACACGTAGCCGGGCGCGTGACGCCTCGGGTCGTAGTCACCCAACTCCGCTGAAAATATTACTTGTTTACTACTTGACATAATATTATGGCTATTTGCATTATTACTTATACTAGTTGTCCCGCAGTAAATAGTTGAAATTCGACTATAATTAAGTGAAATTATAAGTGTGAACATTCTTATTGGTTCTATTTTCAAAGACTAGTAGTATCTTCTATAATCACAGATTTCATCAAGACTACATTTTAGACAGATATTATTAAAGACAAACAATATTCAATCTATTCTCAATTTGACCACAGACTTTAAATTATAACAAAAGTTTACGTTTAAAGTTAATTATACAATTAGCAATTTACAAAGAGTATATTTATACGTATGTGTTGTGTCAAACACAGGGTTGTGTGTGTAATGTTTTCTTTATTGATTTAATGTATTTTTAATGCATAATTTTTAACAAATATTAGCATTGTGCACTTCTTCTCTATATTCTACTTAGTCTGGCCATAAATACTGTTACAATTAAAAATAAACAAAATATTACATTTGAATTTGGAATCTGTCATTTTTATATGATTCCTCATTGAGTTTTCTCATTTTGGCGCCAATACATTGTACAATATTTTGCGATATTGTGTGATTGCATAACACAAAGTAGGTATGGAGTCAAATGCAATTTTTAAAACTCCATACGCTTGGTATTAGTAAAATGTTTTTGTACGGGGCTATTAATAGGTGCAATAAGACCTTTTCTGTTTGTGACAGAAAAAGATCTGGCCGTCCACGTAGTGTTCGTACGAAAAAGGTGGTCAAAGCAGTAAGGGAAAGAATTCGAAGAAATCCTGTCCGAAAGCAAAAGATTTTATCTCGGGATATGAAGATAGCACCTAGTTGCCTATTTTAAAAGATGACTTAGGACTTGCAGCCTATAAGAGACGTACTGGTCATTTCTTAACTGATAATTTAAAAGAGAATAGGGTGGTAAAGTCGAAACAACTACTGAAGCGGTACGCAAAGGGAGGTCATAGAAAAATGTTGTTTACGGATGAGAAAATTTTTACAATTGAACAACATTTTAACAAACAAAATAACCGTATTTATGCTCAAAGCTCTAAGGAAGCTTCCCAATTAGTCGACAGAGTGCAACGTGGGCACTATCCGACTTCAGTGATGGTTTGGTGGGGTATTAGCTATGAAGGAGTGACTGAGCCATACTTTTGTGAAAAAGGTATCAAAACATCGGCACAAGTGTATCAAGATACCATTCTTCAGAAGGAAGTGAAGCCCCTTAACAACACCATGTTCAATAATCAAGAATGGTCCTTCCAGCAAGACTTGGCGCCAGGTCATAAAGCTCGGTCTACGCAGTCTTGGTTGGAAACGAACGTTTCGGACTTCATCAGAGCTGAAGACTGGCCGTCGTCTAGTCCTGATCTTAATCCGCTGGATTATGATTTATGGTCAGTTTTAGAGAGTACGGCTTGCTCTAAACGCCATGATAATTTGGAGTCCCTAAAACGATCCGTACGATTGGCAGTGAAAAATTTTCCCATGGAAAGAGTGCGTGCTTCTATTGATAACTGGCCTCAACGTTTAAAGGACTGTATTGCAGCCAATGGAGACCACTTCGAATAAGCTTTTTATACTTTAAATTGTTTTATATTTATGTANTCAGTTTTAGAGAGTACGGCTTGCTCTAAACGCCATGATAATTTGGAGTCCCTAAAACGATCCGTACGATTGGCAGTGAAAAATTTTCCCATGGAAAGAGTGCGTGCTTCTATTGATAACTGGCCTCAACGTTTAAAGGACTGTATTGCAGCCAATGGAGACCACTTCGAATAAGCTTTTTATACTTTAAATTGTTTTATATTTATGTATTAAACTAACACACTGTAAAAGTAATAAACGTTTTTTGCAATAGATTTTTTATTATTATTAATTGTAACAGTATTTATGGCCAGACTAAGTATATAAGTGGGGAAAATTTCATACTCCTCCGTCCAGGCAATTTTCGTAAAAAGGGATACAAAGTTTTTGCTTCACGTATTAATATATCGATTAATTATTTAAAAAAACAGAATTGATAAAGAGGATTTTATGTGGTGTTTCATGTGTTAACACGTCAATACTCGGTTATCTTTTTAATGTTTCTTCTAATTACTTTTTTTTTGGAAGTGTGAACGAGTTGAAATTTTATCTGGTGTAAAGTGGTTGCTGGAGCCCATAGACATCACAACGTGAATACCATCAGACATGTGGTCGAAGTCTCAATTGTACAACTATCCCACCTTACAAAGAAGAACGGACGATTGCTTCGCAGTATGACAGGAATAATAACATGATTACTTAACAAAATTTATTTTCTTTATAAACATACATCAAATAACAGATCTAATATTACCTATAATAATTTTTTACTTTCAACTTAGCGTTTAAAATTTTTTTTACAGTCTCATAACTGTCTTATGGTTTTCATTTTATAATTTCCATTCGTCCAAATAATTAACAGTACTAGAGGTCCCGCAGTAGTCGAAATTCGATTATAATTAATTGGAATTGTAAGTTTGTACCCTATTATGATTGTATTTTATACTTCTATAATCACAAAATTTCGCCAAGACTACACTATAAAAAATATTAACAAAGACAAACAATATTTAATCCATTCTCAATTTGACAACAGACGTCAAGAACAAAACTTTGACAATAAGTAGTATGCATGCGTGTGTGCGTCAAATACATGGTATGTAGTGTGTGTAATGTTGTCTTTATTGATTTAATGTATCTTTTATTTATGCATTATTTATAAAAAATATTAGCATTGTGCACTTCTTCTCTATATTCTCTATAAGTGTGGAAAATTTCATACTCCTCAGTCCGCGCAATTTTCGTAAAAAGGGATACAAAGTTTTTGCTTCATGTATTAATATATAGACTCGCGGTCACGGATGACTAATATTTATATTCTAGTTCTTGTATAAGTTTCTTCCGTTGTTATATATTTCACTAGTACATTAAAATGAATGTGATTTAGTGAAAGATTTAGATCGCTCCCTTAGGCGTAGGCATTTTCGAAATGTTCAAGAAAATGATATTTAACGACACATCCCGCTCGCCGTGCTAGCGTGAACGTAACATACAAACGTCCGAGTTTCTTTGTGTATGTTCTCGCAAGCGAGCCAGATGTTACGATTTCCGACTGCAAAAAATATTATGTATGTAGGATGAGAAATTACAGTCGGCTCTGTTCACTAGTGAATTTTTCAAAGCCCAAAATATTTAGATCGGCGAGGGTGTTCGATTCATTTCTTGTTAATGGCCGATCGCATATTTCATTGAGGCAGAATTAAAAACGCAGTAGTTGAAGCAGCAAGAAAAACATAAAGAAATTACGTATGATTAAAATTTAGGTCTGCAGATAAAATAACAATCGGAACGATTACTGTACAATAAAAACAGCGTCCGCGCGGGTAGGTACCACCACTCTGTCTATTTCTGCCGTGAAGCAGTAATACGTTTCGGTTTGAAGGGTGGGGCAGCCGTTGGAACTATACTTGAGACCTTAGAACTTATATCTCAAGGTGAGCGCCGCATTTACGTCGTAGATGTCTATGGGCTCCAGTAAACACTTCACACTAGGTGGGCTGTGAGCTCGTCCACTCATGTAAGCAATAAAAAAAAACATTACTTACAACTGTGCCTTAACATATAAAATAAAACTAATTATTATTTTGTTAAGGGAAAGCATTAAAATTATGTTATAATTGTAAAAGGTCCTTTTTTCAGGTTACGAAATATAATAAAGTTTATTCACGGCAAACTGTGTCTGTGCGGTTACATTACGTGTGTTTGGTTAGGACCTGAACCTACGCATGCTTCAAATTAATTGAGATTATAAAGGAGCGCGTATCGATTAAATGAGAGTCTAATTGCTACCATGATGTTCTTCATAAAAAAGAAGTACATATTAGGAGTCAGACTTGTCGTGGCTTAAAGGATAAGGATGCACGGATCAACGGTAGGCAGCGGCTTGGCTCTCCCCCTGGCATTGCTGAATTCCATGGGCGACGATAACCATTCACCATCAGGTATCACTGGTGGTAGGACCTCTTGGGAGTCCGCACGGGTAGATACCACAACCCCACCTATTTCCGCCATGAAGCAGTAATGCGTTTCGGTTCGAAGGGTGGGGTAGCCGTTGTAACTATACTGAGACCTTAGAACTTATATCTCGAGGTGGGTGGCGCATTTACATTGTAGATGTCTCTGGGCTCCAGTAACCACTTAAAATCAGGTGGGCTGTGAGCTCGTCCATCCATCTAAGCAATAAAATAAAAAAGGTGGGCCGTATGCTCGTCTGCCTACAAGGGCAATAAAAAAAAACTCGTATCTAGCGGTGCGACCGTGCCTCTGTTCGAATTTCGCAAGCAGGTACCAAATTTTTCTAATGAAATATGTACTTAACAAATGCTCACACGAACTACTGCGACAGTGAAGGAGTAATATCGTGTAATAAATTTAATATCAAACCCACAAAAAAATATAATTTGCGTAATTATTGTTATTAGAGCGTTTTGTGAGTCCGCACGGGTAGACACCAGCATTCTGCCTATTTCTGGCATGAAGCAGTAATTAGCTTTGGGTTTGATAGTTGAGGCCGCCGTTTTACTGTAAAACTGAGACTTGGAACTGACGTTACGTTACGTTGTTAATGTTTATGAGCTCCATTAACCAACCACTAAGCACCAGTAAGGCTGTGAGCTCATCCAAAAAATTAACCAATTTAAAAAAGTCAAAGATAGATGTAATCCGAAATTAGAGATTAGTCGCACGACGCACCGCGTTTGTCTAAAAATAGTCACATTTATTTTCAGTTACACATAATTGCTGCTTTCTATTTTATCTGTTTTAAAATGGAGCATTATAAAATACATCGCTAAATATAGTCTAATGTATATTATTATTTAGTCTAAGTAATTTCAGCAGTATATTTATGTACGTACGTGTGATACTTTCATACAACTGTTCCACTTTAAGTTAAAATTTTCTATCATTCGTTCGCCCAAGTTCGCCTATTAGAAACAAACGACTCATTTATTTTTGTTTAACTGTATTTTATGTCTGTCGTTTAATTTCTGAGCAAGTAGCTAGAGGCGGTCATAAATCAGATTATTTTTAAACTCCCTTGTAACAGTTCAGGGGCTCTTTGAAATTTTGTTCAAAAGTAAGCAGATATAGGGTAACGGAATTCGAAGTCGTTGAGAGAAATTAAGTTTTTTCTTTGTTCTTTTGATAATTTCTTGGTTTATTTTTGGCGCTATATTAAGACACAAAATTAAATGCTGTTACAGCAAGATTATTTAGGTATCAAATTAAAATTTCTATTTTTATTGTATTTTTCGTGAAATTTACTTTTCGAAAACACCGAGAAAATTGATGAAGTTTTTTTTAGTACAGACATATGTTTTGAAAGTATAATGTAAACAAATTATCTCAGATTTGTTTTTAGAGATCAAAGGCTACTTTCGTTTGAAAGGTATAAATCAGACGTCCCAGTTCTGTTTCTTGTTAGTACATGTGAGTGATCCGTGAAGATAGCATCGATCATTTAGCAAACAGGAACGTCTAGCCCCTCCGTAATGTGTCGAAGCTTAGACATTAGACAAATGGAACAAACACTCGACTCACACATGGCTACCACATTTAGAAACGGCAAGTAATATCAATTCTCGACAAAGCACACAATTATATATACATTAGGCGCATGACAAAAAAATGTAACAGTGGGTACTTTATTTGTATCGATTTGGCCTAAAAACTAAAAAAGTTGTTTCGCGCCTGAATCCTTTTCCAACAACACCCCTAAGCCTTCAAACTTTCGACAAAGCCGTCACTTTATCTAGATGAAAAAAAAAAACAACACAAACTTGTTGTTGCAAAACTTACATTATTGATTGATATAAAGACGTTATGAGCTTGTAGGCGGGTTGGCCTATTCTCTAGTGGTCACATCTCATTTGACACGGTGCCTAGATCCTACACGATCGCCTATCATCTTGATTAATTTTAGTCAAGTTACTCAAGCTCGTTCACTTGTTGCATAGGACAAGCTATCTAATAGCATTTCTCCTATAATGCAACTGCGATATAAAGTACACACAAACGAAGTGAGGTCAACTTCAAAAAGATGTTTGACGTCTCTTTGAAGTTCGAAGTCTGTTCTGAAGTTGAACGCTATTTTGTTGGGCCAAACTTAAAAAAACTTGAATTATCATAACGTTTTAGAGTAATGAATGTAACGATAACAGGAACTTCATTTAAAATAAATGTGATAGATGAAAAAGTTCGTTGTCTATTAGATAAGATAAACAGTGTGGAAAATGTGACTCAATGTTATTGGTAGGTAATTTTTTTTAATAACTACTACACTTGACACATCTAAGAAAAAAAAACATTCTGCTCCAATTTTTTTGTCGTCTTTATTTACTATTGTTACTTATTATAAAGAGATTTATGTACATGTTATGTATGCACTGTTTTGATATAGTTTTCCAAGTGCTTTTTTTTTTCAAAGCCATTATCAAGGATTTTCGCTCCTCGTATCTCCCTGGGGTTACCGGGTCCGTGATGTAAGACAAGATTAGATGGAAATGCTGCTCGCCTGCTGATAGCTCGTTTACTTTTTGAATAATGTATTGATTTAACAGTCTATTTTGAAGAAATACTCAACTAGGTTTTTTATTTAAATATTATGAATCATGAATTGTTTGTTCAGAATAAGAAGAAAGTACTTAATATATAATCTTATGTACATAAATACATCCATCTACAAATGATATAAAGATATATAAAAAATATATAATATAATTATTGTAAATAATAAATATTCCCAAGAATGAACTATGTAATTAAAACATCAAAGAAGGTTTCAAACGTTAATTAGGACGTCAATTATAAATATAGACGCGAATACCAGCCTGGGCGAGTAGGTTATTAATTATGTAAGTCTTCAAAGGTAAGGACGACTTTAATTATCTCATGATGTTGACAAAAACGGCACAGTGAAATTCAACAGGTAAATACAGGAAAAAAATTAATGCATTTAATAAATAATTTGGCTTACAAACATCTAAAGTAGTGGAGTTTGCTCGATAATGTTAGAGCATTTGCGGCGAGATATCTCTAGACTTCAGCAGCGTTGGGAGCTTTAGAAACTGAGAGGAGAATAGCACTAACTATTACAGTAAAAAGGAATTGTGTTCGTCCCGACACTATTTCTGAAAATATCAGCGAAATTTTCGAAACAGTCGATCGAGTTAGACTACTCCTATTCGAATTTTATATGTACTCGTATTTTACAGTCTGTTTAAATTCAGATATAAAATTCGTGGATTGTTTGTATAATTATATAGTCAATGAGTGTTATTTATACGCTTGTGTTTCTATGCGGAACACAAAACCATTTGGTAAATGACTATCCGTAATGTTATGCTACTCATAATAAGGGTCGGCTTGGGATAGAAGTATAGTAATTTTTGGGTTATATGCATAAGTGATGTATGACTTAAAAACATATTATAATATAGAACTTGAAATTAGTGGTATAACTTTTGAAATCTATGGTTCCCACGTTTTGAATGTAGTATTAGAAATTATAATACTATATAATTAATGTGTACATATATGTACTATGCAAATACTAAATTAAATTAGAACCTACTAATATATTATCGATACTAGAGCGAGCTTTTATTTTTAGGATAACCAGATTTTTTTTGAAAATTTTCACTGAAAAGTTCTCTCTCCATTAAAAAACTATTACACAAAACCTACTTACACACAACCTACCTACCCACGCCCTAACCTACACACAAACCCGCATACAAAAGATTTTTGTAAAGTAAAGATCAGACTTTAACCTTCTATATCGGGATAATTATCAATGTTGAAACCGTAGTGTGTTACAATGTTAAGAAATGCAGTGAAATATGCTGGCGGTATCGACCAACTAGATTTAAAAAAATTCCATATCATTGTGGATTCTATCCGTGAAGCGTTGGCTTTAAATTATCCGGTTTTGCGTAAATTTGAACAGAATATTGATTGTCAAATGCGCGTGAGAGTCGACCGAAATACCAATTTTGTTGCGAATTTTTTCGTTTGACCCATAAACCGGTAAAACCGAAATAAAATTGTTTTTTTTACATTTGAAAACAGTTGAGTATTAGATTTTGTATCTACGTTTGTTAAGGTCAATATAGCTTATAAGATCTATCATTTATTTTTATATTTATAAGTGTTATTTTTGAAATTGAAATGTCTTAACGTACAAGGGTCAGATTCCATTCCAAAATTTAAATCAAGCAGTACTTTTATTTCGTTCTTCATTTACAATATGAAAAATTACTCACAGTTTAAGTATTCTGTGTATCTTTGAACAGATATTTTTGACAGCTATTTCTAACTTCCCTTTCGTATTTACATTAAAATCTATACGATTATGCAAATGTAATACGAATCTCAAGTCTCAAAGTATACAGCGATATTAGATATCTCAATGGGCTTCGGAAAGCAGTAAGCATCCGATGAGCTGTGAGCCCCTTCACCGATCAATAGAAATAAAAAAATATTCGACAAATCGGTAATTCATCTAATTGTCGCTAAATTTCATATCGATTTGCAAGATGTATTAATCAATGACAATATGCCTCAGGCAAATCTGCTAGAGAAACACGGGATGCAGTTGTCACCGGTGCCACACGTACTAACCGCAATGAGAAACTAATTCGTGTCGCTCTTGTTTACAAACACACTACAACTTCGGCATCCATCCAATTAAGGCCTTACCATAGCCAACTAATGGAATTGCAACTTTTAGCCCGTAGTTTATGTTTGTGGTAATACTGATTAAATGAAAAAGTACATTAACCTTGACCATTCTAATCAAATGGTATAATTGTAAAACTAACTAATAAAAACGTTGGGAAAAAAATAATTTATAAATTGACACTAAATCATATACAGTTTTAAATTTGAGACGTGGTTATAACTAACTAAAAAACTGTAGATTTGTGTGTTATTTGATTGTGTGCATAATATTATTATCACTTTAGACAAATAATTTTCGGGGCTTCGGGAAATAATCGGGAAAATATTTGGGATGTAGTATAATAATAGTTGGTAATGGTAGCTATCGTATAATATAGTGCCTGAATCACTTTCCAATTTCCAATCATCCGTTCATAGTATTAGCTTCCACACCTCAGTTTTGCTATGTAACTTCATATTTTCGTCCCTTTAATTTTATGTTTAAAAACTTATTATTTTAGGGAATGTTGTGTAAATTTCGAGCTGAAAGGAGACATAATATCTCAAGATAGATGGCGGTATTCATGTCGTATCTATCTACTGCTGTAGCCGTTAATCATCAGGTCGGCCGTGAACTCATATACCACAAAACATTAACTAATTATTTATAAAAGATAAGTACGAATTTGTTTATGAAAGATAAGTACTTACATTGAAGAACATATGCGGAGAGCTCGGCGGCTAGGTCGAAATTTACGGGCAACCGACCACGCAGAACGTCTTGCTTCAGCTGCAAGAATAACTGATACCTGCGTAGATCGAATATCATTAGCGCACACTTTATAACTATCTCAAACTGTACTCGACTCAATGCAAGCGAAGATCAAATACTGACTGAAAACGATCATGTAAAATACGCACTATGATTGAACGGGTTTTTACGCCATGATCGGTCTACCCGTGATTATGGCACTTGTAATAGCGCCGAAATATCGGTCATTCATAACATGTGGAAATTGTAGTAAAAACCCGTTAAATAATAGCGTGTATAATTTAGATTAACGCGAGAGCTTAAAATAATTGCATCATACAAAAGTTATCGATCTTGTAAATTGTAATCTGAAATTTAAACTATTAAAAACAATTGAAATGTTGTGTCGTGTAATATGGGGTTTTCATGTAAGATTCTACTGTACGGATTACCTAACTGTTCGCGGAAAATTGAAAAAACAGCTTCTACCTCACAAAAATATACTGGAATTCCTGGAAATGGTTTAGAGGTAATTTATACGTCACTTTAATTTATTAATGTATTACTTAGACTTCGTAGGAAATTAGCTTGTGCTGTGCATGTACTAAAATTGGAAGGATAAAGAGAAGATTATAAAGATTATGATAGCCTAACGAATAAAGAGCTCGGACTGGTTACTCGTATCGAGCAATATGCTGTTATGACGGTGTTCAAATTTCCCAGGCAGGTGACAAGTTGTCCAATAAAATTTTATAAATACTTAACACATATTCACGACAGGCTTTCACGATAAAAGAATAACAAACAGCGTGTAGTAAGAATCAAACCCGCAAAAAGTGTAATTTGCATAATTACCGGCGGATGAGCGTCTTGTAAGCACGCATGGGTATGTACCGCCATCTTGCCCATTTCTCCCGAGAAACGGTATGCGTTTCGATTCGAAGAGTCAACCCTTATAAGCTTTACAAACGTTATACCATACAATTAAGACTAAGACCTCATGTCTCAAGCTACGTGACGGCATTCGTTTTATGATGGTCTTGGTAAGCACTTAATACCAGGTGGGCCTAGAACTCATTCATCCGAGGGAATTAAAAATATGGAAAGATATGATTGGAAGGTTTGGGTAAGTGCTTATTTGTTAAGTGTAAATTTGTTCGTCTAGTCCTTAAAATTAAGATAGCACTAACTAACTTGTCAAAGCCGAAAACAAAAAAAACAACAAAACAACACATTTCCATTTTACATCTACGACAATTTTCACCAAAAATCTACCCAATAGCATTTTCGTGTAGCACTTGCATATCCCGCACAAACAATTTAATACCAGCAATAAAGTTGAATAACAACACTTATAAACACCATTAAAACAATTGAGTACTGCTTTCAATTTAATTTACGAGTAACAAACCGTATACAATTAAGAAAGACCCTTATTTTTAATACGGAGCCAGAAAACACATTAACCTACATAAGACCAAACACGCACCAGTAAAATATTTTAACATACTAATTTAAAAAAAAATCTACTTAAAATACTTCAATCGCTGCCATTGTCGTAAACTTCAAAGGAGAGAGAGAGAGAGAGAGTGTGTGTAAAAGTTTTAACACGATTTTCACGACACCATTTCGGACTTAGAACCAGAATTATGTGTCCACAAAATGAAAAATTAGCGGCGTCCCGTCTCCGACGTGAATGGAAATTTTAAAATCCTATCGTGCAAAAGGTGTCCAATTAAAAACTGCCCGCAGAATAAAACCCGGCGGCTGCTTTTATTACGACAATGACAGTTTAGCGGTGCACGTAGTCTCTATTTATTCATTTCATCAGGGCTACGCGAGTTTACGAGCTTGGAAGAGCACTACACTTCTCCTTTTTTACTTAAACACTCATTATTTTGAATTCACGACTTTTAATAGATTGTGAATTTGTCGGTTTCCTCAATAAAAACCAGTGCGTCGCAATATTAAAATAGGCGATCTAAGCCTTAGACCTTTCTGAATAAGAACATAACGCAGATTTTTTTAAATTAAATAATTGGATTCCATCTATGATTATGTCATCAATGTATCGAATATGTCATCATCACAAAGTACATACTTAATAGCATGGATAGTAGTCGTGTAATCACATAAGACGTGTGCCGTATCTGTCCCTTATCTCGTTATGTGTGAGAATTTAATAAAGCTGATGTTCATATGTCGGGTCTACTCTAGGGTAACGATTATAGTTTGAGTTGGCACCATTTTGAATTGTTTTGGATTGTGGTTTCTCGAAGTACCTACTCTTCACGACTATATACTGTGTAATGTGCGCGAACTTTGGTGGTTTCGAAGGGTTGACAAGCTCGGATGACTAATCATTTCATTTTGCCACAGAAACCTTTTTAATTAATATTTTCTTTAAATACCTTTTTTCTCTTAATTCTTAAATACACTTTAAGATAAAGGCAAGTATCATAGCAATTTATAAATGCTCATACACATTAATATATAAATCAAATATGGCGTACGTGTATGGAGAGCAAGAAACTAGATATGTAGGAGTGTCAGTGATAGGACTAGAAAATATAGGTCTGTCGTGAAAACCGGTAAGACGTTGAAGAGGCACGTTTCATACAAATACAGATGTGTTTTATTATCACTTCCCTTCTCGATTCGTTTCATTCTAAAGCAACATTATAATTCTGTGATACGAATGATGTTATGAAACCGTTGATCTCGCGTTGGCAGTTAACACGTGCACACATAACGCACGCGACGCTCTTTGATGGAAATCCACTTTGGTATACATCGGTGCGTACAATTTGTTAATGTGCAACCATTAATTAGATTTTCACATCCAGTTGGTGGTTTACTGGAAGCCATTATAATAACAAATTTCATAACATTCCAACGTGTATGAGTGTTCAGTAGAACGGTAGTGTCGGTCAATGTTGTAATAATGTTTATAAACATCGCACAAGTGTGCCGTTTAATCTTAACGGTAATAATGTATACGTAAGTGTTATCATGTAACGGGAATTCATTTTTAGCTTAAAATAAATTTTGATTTTTTTATACAAATATATTTAAGGCTGTTAACAAAAAATGCACGAAATTGCGGGTTAAGCCGATTAATTTAAATATTTTGGGCCAACCTTTATTATCAACTAAACATAATGATTATGTTGGCGTAAAAATAATGTGACAATATTTACCGAGTGATTTCTTCCAGTAGCTTGCAAGGATCGGCTGCGTAGAACTTAACGCCGAAATAAAATGTATGGGTGTCTGACCCTCGTAGCTGCCGACGAAGTCTTTTCCCGGAATCTAACCAGTGCTGTAGAAAATATGGGAATGTTTATCTTCTTTTTGATTAAACTAAAAAAATACACCAAGATATTTACAACGCTTTTACAAATCAAAGCCAGATTAAAAATAAAGATACTACATACACTTTATTAATAGATTCTCAATTTGGCTTTAAATCACCAAGCCTACAACAAACAAATTTTAATGTCTATCTAATCTACTGCTTTAGCCAAGTAATAATTTCGGTGGGGCGATTAACAGAAGCCGACAGAAGCTTGTCTCTGAACAATTAATGATTCTATGAAGCCCATTATATGATCATCTGTTAAATCGAGTGTCGGTTCATGTCGGTTAATATCTGATGTACGACTGAATGGAATGAGTAATTAGACTTTCTGAGATGAATTCTTTGTAAATCATGTGACTGTTATTTGTTGGTGTCATATCAAAGCATTTTTAAGCAGTTTTATTTCATAGTTGCTCCTTTGACGACTACCAAACTTAGATTTTCTCCTGTCTTATAGATAGTACAAATACATAATAAATAGCATATATATATAGAAAAGAACTAGCACGTTCAGACACTGAATATATATATTTATCAAGATTACTCTGGCCTGGATTCGACCCCAAACAACGTGGAATAATATTCAGGATTATGAACTGCTTGATAAACGAGGTGCTTAAAAATCTTTTTTTACGGTACATTTGGTTGTGAGTGCGTACCGTCGACCGGTAATCTAGTTAACTACTATACGTAATTGAAGTTATAAAATGTTGCTAAAACTTCTTTAGTACCGTAGTGATTTGAAGCTTGTTGAAAAGAAAAAAAACGACTCTAAAACAGAGAAACTTACGCACCCATAGGCTTTATTATCCAGCGAAAGTATGAGATAGAATTGTTCTGAAGGTTAAACTTTTGCTGCGTGTTAATGCACACATGTTTTTTTCTAAAGTTGAAGTCTCACATAGTATGACATAATACTTAGTTTAGATATAATGACATTGATACAATTGCGTACCTATTTTGTTGATATGACCGTATTTAAAATACCAAAAAGAGCTGTACAGTTTTAATTGAAGTGAATAAAATGACTTGCGGAGACTACGGTATTCTTAGATTGTAAATTGTTATAAAAAATATTTCTTTACATGTAGAGAAATATTTATAACATATTAGATGACTGAAATATAGTGTGAGAAATATGTGTTTTGTGTCATAGTTACATAGTGCGAATAATAAAATATATTGAACTTACAGTTTGATTTTCTTGATCGAGGTACCGAAGACCAAAATAAGCTGTTTCCAATAAATCCAAGTGTTTGAAGACAACATCAAGCAAGCCTTGTCCGGTGTTATTATCCTACAATAAAATAAAACATTTTATTAAATACTTTCTTTAACATATAAAATAACATAATTTAAAATTACTTTTACCGTTTGATCTCGCATTTTTTTACGGACGACCGTGACCATAAAAACATTTGAAATATATTATTTGAACAATTTGAATAAAACGACTATTTGAAATATATAGTATTTCATCATCATCATCATCATCAGCCTTTATCTGCCCACTGCTGGACATAGGCCTTCCCCAATGCCTTCCACATAATGCGGTCCTCCGCCTTCCGCATCCAACGACTTCCCGCCGTGCGCACTATGTCGTCAGTCCACCTGATATATATATAGTATTTGAAACGTTTTAAATCTTACTAGATGATGACCGAGCTTTGTTCGGTTTTTTTTTTGATAACGCCATCTTGTTGTGTCTTTAAAGCGGTTAGTTGCCCTCAATTAAGAAAAATAGTATTATTATTCGCCAATAGATGTCGGGAAGAGTTAATTATTGAAAACACGAATAAAACAACATTTTCTGAAAATAAATCGAAGCTAGATCGATTTATCGCCCCCGAAATCCCCTGTATACAAAATTTTATGAAAATCGTTGGAGTCGTTTCCGAGATTCTCAGATTATATAAGTATATATTAATATACAAGAATTGCTCGTTTACAGGTATAAGATAAGATAACAACTTAAAAACCACAAGGTTAACACATTATTTGGGATTCTCCTGATCCACTCTCAGTGATTTAATGCATTCCAAGCACCGGTCACTGTCCTCACTGAATCATGTCAGTAGGTGGCGATTCCAATACCGTGGTAGATTTACCGAAGCCCTGCTCTTCTTGCTAGCACAGATATTAGCAAAGTCTCTTGGGTTGAGGCCCGTGAGCTGGCCTTCCCATTTGGTGAAGCTAATAGTATAAGCCCTTGAGGTTACTAGGAGAAGGGGAAAAAATGAGATTGACGGTAACAATAGTTTTAATTATGCCTACGACTCGCGAAAATCAAGGAAAATACAATAGTTATTATAATTAATTAACCTAGTTATCAAAGTAGCTCAAGATAAAATCTACACAAAAGCATTAAGTAGCACTGTTATAAATATAGCATATAATTTCTTGGCCATTGTTTCCTGAATCAATTCCTTTGGAGTTAAAAATTACCACATCTCGATATTCAGATTCTGCAATTAGGGAGACTTGCACGCGATGGGCCGGTAAGACCAGTAGTCAATAGTGATTTTGTATTGGCAACATAATTGCAGGGGTCGGCCTGGTCTCACGGTCGAGAAAGAAGCTTGAAGTTCGCGTGCGACTTCTCCGTGTGGTAACCGTCTCTCGTATAGTGAGGCGTGAGTGTGATTCGTGTTGTCTCTAATTTACATTTTTTATCCAATAGCTCTAATTAAAGTTGCTTTTGAGAAATTAAAGAATTGATAAATTTTTTTGGACGGATAAATATATCGTTTTCAAAACGGCAGTTACAATCCAATTGCTCATTACTTACTGTTTTCATCTGAGGATAACTTCACTGAATATGAGTTCTTTTAATATATTTTCCAGCGTAAAATATATGTCACCATTATCGATACTATTCTAATTTAAGTTAATCATTTTATGAAATGTTTTTCATTGTATACTGTTACGTTATATACTAATTTAATATATTTCGGAGTATTCAACCGAAAAGCTCTAACCAAATTTAATAGTACCTAGCTGTGTCACTTTGTGGTTAATTTATCAGCTTGTAGCCGTAATAAAATTTACGGTAGTATGAAAATTACATTAATCGAGAATCCTTTTAAGTTATTTCGCACAAAACCATGATCTAGCCGTAAGAATAGTATCCGATATTAAGATATCGATAAGCCAATGGGATTTGGCGAACACAATCTTAATATGCATCTGCGATAATGAACCAAACAACGAACTATTCAGCACTCAGTTCTCTGTAATTACAAACACAACGTGCGTTTGAAACAAAGCTAAATACGGTTTACTTTGGGGCAACTTGTATTTGCTTGCAGGATCCACGACGGCCTGTGGGAAAATTGCGAAACAGTTCGTTGGTCTGAATAATAAATGATTTAATAACAGAGCGCGTTTGCTTCCAGTAGCGTATATGAAGCTCGAAAAATAACAAATGATTTCAAAGTCTGACGGTACTCGGGACGTATGCGGTATTATTGGCAATGGCCGAACACGCGATCCCCGCTGCGGGCTGATGCAGTGCTCAAACCTTATTGTCATATTCAGTAGCAATTTTCATTTATAGAATGACCAACATTATTGTAATTCAGAAACCGGTGCTGAAGTCGAAACGAGAATAAAGTTAAGTGATTTAATAATTACTTATCGTGAAGGCTAAACAAATACATATTCAGTATTTGTAGTTTTGGTTAGATTGTATATCTTGAATCCGTAATTTAACACAATGCAGCAGGTAAGCGTTATCCGCGCTCCTTCGTCAAAGACAATGTAAAAACAATATCTAAACACAACTTTTAAAATGTGATTTTTGTCTAACGTCCAAAATCACAAGGTTCTTCATTTACTTTTGTTTTCGGCAACGGTTCCTTTTATACTATATACAAACGACATTTTTTTTTTAATGTCCATCTATAAAAAGAGAACAAACTACGTGAATGAAAATTCCCCAAAATAAATTTCATAATACGAACATGAACTACGATTGAGAATTGAAAACTAATATGATATTAATATAACGAGTAACTATTACGCAAATAAACGTTTAAACGAAAGAATTCAGAGAGCAGGACGGGCGGAAGGAAAGGAAAAAACAATCAAGACATCGAAAGCACTAAAGGTTGCATCAAGGCAGCAGACCGTGAAATGCTGTCGACTCAATTTAGCGCCGCGACAATACAGAATCACCTCCTCCAGTACGATCCTGCGCTGACACTAGGCCCGACTCATAAATTGCACAGCAATTCCCTTTTCGTTCCCATTCCGTATAATACTCGAGGAAAGTAAAGCAGAATATTACTCAATCGAGTGAATTCAAGACTTTTGGTTGCATATTTTAGATAAATTTTTGGTCGTTTTGTTTTTATTTTCTGCGTATACAGCAAAGTATTCGGTACGTTTAATGGTTAGAGACCACAACTCCAAAATTCCCAAAAGTTTAAAATTATGTCGATTGATATTATAAAGTTTCATCGGCCATAAACATTTTTTTTCTTAACAAAAGGGATAAAAAATACATTAAGCTTCAAGGACAAAGGTCATGGTTTTTTTCTCTCTAATCTAATTATTTTAATGTCAGCTTAAATATATGACTCATATGTAATATGTATTCTGTTCAGATATTTTCAGATCACATTTAATTTTATTTTATGTGGGTTTGAAAACCATTTTACTTCGACTTTTAATTTAACTTCGCCTAGTGACCTAGTGTAATACAAAAATCGAACATGTTATTGTAGTTATCGGAAAGAAAAAGTTCTTCCTAAGGCCTTTGAAGACAAATGTCCCTTTGTAGATAGGGAAACGCCACGAAAGGGCCGCGATTCATCTAAAATATCCATACAATTTAGCGAGAACCGTCGAAACCTCGTCTACCACTTTACCAAAATTGGACGATTTTCGTCCAATATATCTTCAGAATTTGTTTGACGAACAAGTTACGTGTCCTCGAAAGGGCGAACAATAGCACTTTGAGAATATATTTAGCCGTTATTTACAGTTATGCCTTCGAGCTATATGACAAACTGCCTGCATAAACTACCGGATTTATCTGAAGTTTATTACCTCTTATGGATTCTGAAGCACTAGTGTTTGGATTTTTATATTTTACTCTTAAAAGATCGGTTATGTTTGCATTAGCACTTAGCCTGGAAAAACACCTTTCCTGTATCAAAGTTCGATACACCTATTGACTTAAGTAACCACGTTACAATTAAATAAAAAAACATCGGGAAGTTTTAAGTAAAAAAAAAAAAAAAAAACGTAAAGACACCTTTTAAATTCAGATAGAGCTCGTGCGAAATGACTGACGCACGTTTATACTCGTAGTATGAACCGACGAAGGCCACTCATCGCTAGCAAACTATACTCGCACTCACTAGGCGACGACAATACCAGCCAAATAGAATTTAATATTCATAGAGTCGACATACGATTCAGTGAATTCATCGCCCACACCTTGGACCCGGGCTTCGCATATAAAAGACCTTCCTTGAGCCCCCGGGTGTGCTTCAAATGATTTGCTTCGAAATAGCTGCACTGCGTAAATAAGGTACGGAAAACCCTACACGCTGTTTCATATATACGGGAAATTGAAAGCTGCAATCAGACCCGAACGGGCGACCGTAGCGTCAGAGATCGGTTGGTTTTGTTTTTTATCAGCTGATTTCGTCATAAAATTTATACTAAACATTAAACGTTGACTAACCGACCAAGATTATAAAATGAGTTTTGTCGTAGACTCGCAGCTTCAAATTTTATTATCTATCTTCTATCTTTATAAGTATAAAAATGAATTGCTGTTCGTTAGTCTCGCTAAAACTCGAGAACGGCTGGACCGATTTGGCTAATTTTGGTCTTGAATTATTTGTGGAAGTCCAGAAAAGGTTCAAAAGGTAGATAAATATGAAAATGCCCGGAATTAAATAAAAATAACAATTTTGTTTTCCCTTTGATGTGTCCCCCATCGGACGGATTCCTTTTGGTTTGTTTTAAGTTTATTTTATACAAAAGTTTAGATATTTTATTAATCGATTGAGGCACTACGAAGTCTACCGGGACAGCTAGTTAGGAATAAAAGAGTGCTGGCTGAGATTGGTTGCCTGCCTACTTTTGCCGCGATGTTATTATATGTCCCAATTTTGTGTGTACATAGAGGAGTAAATATAACAATGTAAATTAGTTTGACTTTTAGGTCTTAAGGTTGGCAGCGCTATTTATGTCGCAGAGTCACTTAATGTCAGATGGTCTAATCGTCGATCTTTCCTAAATTCTAAATAAATAACACGAATATAAAAAGAAACTCAATTTATTACGTTAATGTTGATTTAAATTTTCCAAATGCTTAGTTAATGGCTAATTAAGATTAGGTTCTTCATATGCTTGAATTCAAGAACAATGGTAAAAAAAATTGCAAACAGATCACTATTTCATATAATTTTTAATCGGACGATTTATGTCATTTTATGTAGTATAAGACCTGTATATATGTGTGTATTACTTTTTCAATGGCGTAAGTAACCCGTTTTGTTACATCTATTCTGAGGTAATTAAATCTAATTTAATTTAGATTACAATCACCTACACTTTTTTCTTCAGGGAAGATTAGCATATCTTAAAGTATATCGATGCGGCATCGAGATCTTTCCGCTGATTTCGATCTCAACATAATGTTCTTCTCCAAGAAACGAAAATTCGGATATGTATTTCTGGGTAAGTATTTAACTTATCGATCTATAAGTCTCGTCATTCGACTGAATAGTTATATCATGCCTAAATAAACGTATAAAGTACAAAATTTCATTACTGGTGGTGGGACCTCTTGTGAGTCCGCGCGGGTAGGTACCACCGCCCTGCCTATTTCTGCCGTGAAGCAGTAATGCGTTTCGGTTTGAAGGGTGGGGCAACCGTTGTAACTGTACTAAGATCTTAGAACTTATATCTCAAGGTAGGTGGCGCATTTACGTTGTAGATGTCTATGGGCTCCAGTAACCACTTAACACCAGGTGGGCTGTGAGCTCGTCCACCCAGCTAAGCAATAAAGCAAAAAAAGTGAAATGAGGATCAGAAGGAGAATTTGAGTTACCTGAATCTCATGAAACAATTCTCTTTCGTCGAGCAGTACGATGCGGCAGGCGAGCGTGCGTGGTGCGGGGCACAGACAGTCCATCATACTGCCACAGCGGCCCGTCACCGATGCGCTTCGTCGCCCTATCAGCAGAAAAAAATCTATATTAATAAACCTGGTAGGTCCTCTTGTGAGTCCGCACGGGTAGGTACCACCACCCCGCCTATTTCTGCCGTGAAGCAGTAATGTGTTTCGGCTGGAAGGGTGGGGTAGCCGCTGTAACTATACTTGAGAACTTAGAAGTTATATCTCAAGGTGGATGGCGGCATTTACGTTGTAGATGTCTATGGGCTCCAGTAACCACTTAACACCAGGTGGGCTGTGAGCTCGTCCACACATCTAAGCAATAAAAAAATAAAATAAAAGCCTCGTGTGCGTACTATCTATCGCAGCACAATTTGCCATTCCCTACACAAAACCAATTATGAAGTTTATTTATATTATATTTGTTTTAAAGTAAAAAAGTGAAACAATTATCTATTTGTTCTAATGTTTAATGAAGATTATTAAAATACGCATACTATTTTAAAAAAAAACTTCTATTAAATAATTCGATACCTAGTCAAACTACAATTACATTAGTATAAGTATTTAAAACTACAGTTAATAATTTCATATACTTTTACATTACTTATAGAGAACGTGAGTAAACAACATACTGACAATAGTACTATGTAATTAATGAAAACCGCTTCTTTAAAGAGTAACTAACTCTCCAATATGTAATAAATCAAATTATAAAATAATTTTGTTTCAAATTGAATGATAATAAAATTTTATAAAGTAATCTTTTTTCTTTTGTTATTGATTGTATTTGTGGAAACACGTTATATTAAAAGTTGTTTGGAATAATTTGAGATGACATTTAAGTTAATCTAAACCTTTCTTCGAGTAAGCACTCAGCAAATTGAAACATAATGTTTACAAGGGATATATATTTCAACTTTTCCATTTTTGTAAAAAAAATATCTCGTAAATAAATATTTCGTAATTAAAAATTATTTAAAATGCTACGAATTATTTTATGCTTCATATTAGAATTATTATTTGAACTTTATGTTCTGTTTTGTTAATAATAATAATAATAATAATCATCGTTTATTTCAGACCATATTTTAGCCAATATATAAAAATACATAATAATATATTTATTCCGCCACATGTAGGCGATTCCATGTTAAAAAGAATGGATTCTCCATTCTCTCTCTATCTCCATTCTGTTCGCAATGAGTTACAGGTAACCATTGGAGCAGCCACGCATCCGCCACATCAGGGATGCTGCTCGTGTCCTAAGTATTGCGGCAAAGCCGTCAACATAGGCGTCTGCAAACATCCCCGACGCGCTACAGAAACACGACAGCCCCATCAGTGATGGTATATTTCTAAATTTTTATTTAGATTTTTAGAATATTATAATAAATTAATTTCTTTACACTCTAAACATTCGATAATTCTTTTATCGCTAATGTGATAATATATTCACATTGGATAAATAATTATTGCTTTTGATAAAACACAGTGAGCAAACGTGGATATCATCGGAATTCTCCCTACAAAGCTAAAAGTTGTTTGAAGTCAATTAAGGAGTTATTTGCAGTCAGACTCAATGCTAAAATCACCAAAGGGTTGTTCGAAACCAAATATATCCTCGTTAAAAGTTCGTCAGGTCTAGGGGAGAGCGCACGGGCAACACAGTCTCTGTTTTAACAATTTTATTTTAATTAGTAGCAGCGCCCTCTCTAATAGGCGGATTTTGTTCGACGGGTTTTATTTTAGGGAAAAGGAAAATTCTCAGTGTAGCGTAGCTTACCTGATTGGCTACCTTTCATTTTTTTTTGTTCAAGCTATGTGTATGTACCGGCTTGACTACTTTTTCGAAAAGAAAATTCGTTTTAGTTGTGATTTTAAAGCTTGGTGTAATTTCAGTGGACTCTCATTGATTTGAGGCTGAAGAATAATTTCGTTGACTAGAGCAACTGAATAACAAGTTGCGTCATTTTGACAATGGTTTGTTCCGCATTGCCTTTCAAAGAGATTCATTATTTTCAAGGACCACTTGACTAGATATTAGGAGCAGAAAAATGAATAATTACTCGCTAACGACCCTCTGCGGGGAAAAGTCTTCAGTATCATTGTAGGATAAACTCCCGGTTCCCACGCCCTGTTCATTCCAAGTCGGTCAAGAGCGGCCCGACGCGCTCGATGGCTTTTCATTTTCATTGTTTTTCAATGTGCTCGGAGAACCACAAAGCTGGCGATTTGTAAATTAATCAGAATTGTTTAAGCAGTAAAGATTTGTTCGGGAATTATGACTTATTTCTCTTGTGGGCGTAGATTAAATTCAGAATTAATTATGGTTCAATGCTTTCTCTATGATTATTTTTTCGTAAAGATAAGACTTTTATATAGTTTCAACAAAAACACGTCGGTATGCAGTGCCACCTTGGCTGCTTCACGTATAATTCATACGTTTCAGCGTGAATCACGGAGTATCAAATGATACTTCAATTTTATATCTCGAGGTGGCGGTATTCGCGTCGTGGTGTCTCTTGGCTACGATAGTTAAACTCACACCTGGTTTACTAGCATGTTTCAGAAAAAATTCAAAACAATAGTAGTGTTAATAAGGTTAGTTCATTTCATTTCTGATTTACAATATCAACGCGTAATGCCATTTTTATTCATTCGACTAATAATTCTGAATTAATGATTTGGTCAAGTGCAGTTATTTACGATTCTTTACTAAATTCAGTCAAAAAGATAATTTTTGTGTATAACAAAATCTACATTTGTTTATAAACAATTGATGTAACTGATGCAAGGTTAGGAAATATGAGAAACTTATTTTACATTAAAATCCAAATTTAATATAGGTGCATTACGGTAGGCAGCTACTTGGTTATATCCGAAATTGCTGACCATCTTGAGCAAGGGAAACTGCTCACCAAATATAGAAACATTGAATTTTTTTCCAACATCTTATAGCTCTATGTAGAGTTTATTCTCGTTATTATAGAGATTTACTGTGTCATTCACTTCAATTACTGGGACAAATGTGTAATCACGAGTTCGACAAACAAGAAAGACCGCTAATATCTTAACGCAGCGTGGAAACAACAAATAAACAAGATACATAAAACTAAAATACACCGTTACAACGGGTGTGGAGAGTCAAGAAACTTTTAACAAGTAGACAAGCCAGGACCCTCAAGGACTGTGGAAACAACAGGCAATACGAGCCATTAATCCGAACGATCCCGACAGAGATTAGTGTTCCCGCTCTGACCCCTTACCCCTCCGTCCCACACGTAGAAAACATTTTCCCGCCATTGTCTGCTGCAGAAAGCAAAAAAAGAAATCGCGATTGACATCGTAGCTTAAGGTCGGGTGCAAGTCAAAAGCGAAGAGCGTATTTATTAAAAACACAAGTGTAAACATACAGATATTGTAGTCGACAACATTAATAGTCCAACAAAGTTAGTAAACAATACGTTCAACTATCAGGCACTTAGAGAGCGGTTTGAAACATTAATTTTACACAGACGACGAACCTGAACATGAAATGAAGAATAGTTTTCAATGTTGATTCAATCAAACTTGAATGGGTTAAACTCGCTTTTGTACATATTATTCAGAAATTATTTGAAATTTGTTTGTTTGTAGGTAATCGCTTTTTGAGTAAAATGATATAAGTATAAGACATTATAAACAAAAGTTTTATTTTTATAGATAATCACTCCTTCTCCTTGTGCTCCTCATATTTGAGGATCATGACCTCCTCCATCCATGACTTTCGTCTTCACGATGCTGTGCCATCTCATCCGGACTTTGGCTACTCGGAGAGCAATATAATTACTAGTATATATACAAGTTAAACATCTATACGAAACATCGGTACTCTGACTGTGAACACCATGAAATAGGTAGGTACTGGAAATTTATTACATTTTTTTAATTTTAAGCGATAATTTTTTTAAATAAATCTAATTAAAACCAAAAAATGTGGCTCTCGTATTTAATATGTTAGCCATTACAACCAAACTTTGATACGGCTTGTTCAATTTATAGCATTAACTCCAAAATTAATTTCCTTTTGAGTACTGAACGCACTAAATGTGTCTTTACGTACTAAAACGTACGTAAAAGAACGTACTAAAACTCCACGCTAATCGACCGAAAGTGAATTTTTACTTGCTTTAGATGACTGACTCTCCTACTGATAAGTGGTTACTTGAAGCTAATAGATATGGCAACGCAAATACTGTCACCTTTCTTGAGAAATAATCTCAAAGTTTCATTTTCAATCCGGAACACATGATTCAAAAAGGGGTAGAATGGTGATAGCTACCTGCAAACATTTACATTACATTATTTATATCAGTAAAAGCGGTTCAAGCAAGTTATTTTAAGACAGTTTTCTCAACCTGATACCGTTCAAGAAGCAAACGGTTTTAATTTATTCGAACCTCGCACAAGGAAAGCAACGTCATGAGAAAAGTTAGCTTAGTTCGAATTCATCTTCTGTTCGACTTTTTGTAGATAGCGCCTACACTCGTTTCTTGTTTCATTAATTGTGAATCATTCTTACAATGTCTCAAATTACGTTTACGGTACAAAGATCAAACAGCATCAAAAGGGTGAACCGATTCAAAGAAAACTCCGCACTTTTCCTACAGAGATTTAAATCTATGGCTACAAGTTAAAAAGTTTTAGTTCTGCTCGGAGAACGCCTCAGCTGTTTGACTTTTGCTCGATGTTATAAACGCTTCTCTTGGCTCTCGTATTTCCTTCTTTATTAATTTCCCTAACTAATTTGCAGTGTTTTTTTTTCGATTGTTTTTAAATGTTTGATCAGTCCTTCATTAATCGCATATTTTATATCAATGAATATATCTTTTTTGCGTACCTTAGTAGACGCCTACATTCAGCAGTAAATGTTTGTTTGCAAGTGATGAAGTTGATGTAAATAAATATAATACTAAAACTAAATTATTTACTGGTGGTAGGACCTCCTGTGAGTCTGCGCGGGTAGGTACCACCACCCTGCCTATTTCTGCCGTGAAGCAGTAGGTAATGCGTTTCG